AAGTGGATGGAGCCAAATATGCATTCTTAACCTGGTTTATAGATACTGAAGAACATAAATTAGAAGCTGGAATGACCAAAGAGCGAGTCTGAGAAATTTCAAATGCAATTGATAATAGTGAGTATTTAATAAGAGTAAAATTTATTCAAGCCGATACAGTAATATCAGATAAGGAAACAAAAAGAGGTTTTAAAATTATAGATAAATATAAACCTATTTGTAAGTCAAAAAGGGCAAATAGTAAATATATAAAAGGTGGTCCAAATGTTATACTTACAAAGAAACGAAACCGGGTTTTTGGGTAGGAATAGACGAAAAATTTCTGGTTAGAGAAGTCAGTAGGCAATCTGAGGTAGGGGAACTTGATAGTAATGCAGTAGTCTATGGATTGTATCGAATTCAAGTACCAGATATTAATCGATTAATGCTTATGAAAGATAGAGCACTTAATTGTGTAGCACAACAAGTAATAGAGCATTTTGATCAAACAAAAAGGGGGCATGGACTCACAGAAACTCGCTGGCAAAAAATTGATATATGGGAGAAAAGATGCGCATTCCTGGTGCTCGAGTACAAGATGTAGCAGAATTGAAAAAAATTCTTAAATGACCGATTAAATTGCTTGATATAACCCATGGCACTATCTTTAATAGCAAAAAATATCGATCAGGTAAGTATAAAGAAATAGAGATGGTAGTTCATAATGGTCATGCATTTCCGAGAAACTAGTATTTTCCAAGAGACCGAATGGTCGAATAATATAAGAACGATACTTGGAAAGCTATTAACAATGCTCTTCAAGGACCTCAGGCCATCTGGCTTATAGGAGTAGAGGATAGAAACCAAACAATATCGCAATTTGTTTTAGACGATGGTCGCATATTCAGAACATGGAAAAAGCATACAGATATCATAAATGCATGTAAGGAATTATTTAAAGATGCGGTAGACTAGCAATTTCAGGAAGGAATAATTAGTGAAAAAAGAAAGCGGGAGTCTCTAGAATCACTTAAAGTAGTTGACTTAGCAGAACAGGTATTTGGAACAAACCATGCTAGAAGTCGATTGGCCAATGAGATCAATAAATAGTATCCCACTCCGATAAGTATACATGAAAACATGAAGCAATCTTGTGTTGAACATGGGCATGGAGGACGTTGGAATGCACCTGATTATTGTGTTCAAGATGTTGTATATATAGATATGAAATCTTGTTATCCAGCTAGTATATGTGGTCAAGGAGAGTGTTCACCATAGTTCGAACGATTTGGACACCCAACACATCATCTTGTTCGAGTAGCAGTAAATGGAGAATTACCAAAAGACGATATAACCGGATTTGCGTAGGTAAGAACTTTTAAATTTGTTTCTAATATTCATCCAGTAATTCCTGTTTGGTATAGAAAGCACTTTGCTTGCCAAAATGAAGAAAGATGTGGGAAGGCAAAAGGCTGGACACCTATTGTACTTCTACGATATCTTCTCGAAGCAGGTATTCTAGAAAGTGTAACTATAGGAGAAGCAATTATTTCACTTACCAAGCAAACAAAGGTATGGTTGTCTAAAAATTGAGATATAAGTTGCGCAATCATAGGGAAGTTCACACAGGGAAATAAAGTTGAAGAAAAACAACTTACTCACTGAGTCATAACAGATGAAGGTGAACTTGATTTCTTAATCTAGGATTGTATTAAAGAGGGAACATATGCTAGTAGAGAGAAATATCCACTCGGTTTTATACTTACATACTATGAGGGTCATCAACCTCAATATACTTATTTACGGGCTTCAATGTTAGCATATGCATATATTAATTTGTTAGAGATGCTTCAGAGATTCGATCCTAATGAAGTAGTAAGAATTGCTACAGATTCTATATATGTACGAAAAGATGCTTTATATAAGATCAAAAATATACCAGCATTCTTCAAGCAAGTTGAAGTAAAGTCAGATCCAAATTTATGTTCACATTATCCTTCTTGTGCAATGTGTAGCGATCCAGAAGAATTCTTTATTTCAAAATTAGAATATACAAAATAGATTAAAGAGTTTCTAAAAACTAAAACGCTTCTAGCAAAATATAATTGCAAAAGGCATAAACCATTTATTTGCAGATTTTGCTTTGGGGAATGGTTTTATAGCGGAGCTAGTGCCAAGACATATAGATCAGACTCCTATGCTCTTTTACATCAACCAGAAGAACAAGAAATACAAGAAATTCAACCCGGTCAATAGCGTGATAAGAGCGAAAAAATATATGATCCAAATTCAAATATTGTATACTGGCCAAAGAATAGGCATTGGGAATCGATCAAAGATATTCCAGATAGTATTGCACCAACAATTCATGAACCTATTACAAGATGTCGAAATTCATATCTTAATGGAGGAGGAGGATCCGGTAAAACAACACGAGCAATTAGAATATTTAAAAATATAAGTATGATTGTCTTTACTCGTACAAATGCATTAGCCAAAGATTTTCGAGAAAAACGTAATGTGAAAGCCCAAACCTGGTATAGCTCTTTCGATGAAATGGTGTAGAAGAGTGGACACCTGAACGCATGGGAGAGAAGAAATTTCTACGAGTTGTTATTTGGGATGAGGTATGTATGGTTCCTAAGCATATTCTTGAAATGTTCATTAATTATTTGTTAGAACATAAATGTTAGATAATTTGTTGTGGTGATGATGCGCAACCTCTACCATTCTTCGGAGAAATACCACATAATTGGTTAAAAGAGCATGCCGATTATTATGAAGAAGTCTTGACTGATTATTGGGCCAAATGTCCTAAATTACGTGAACTCAAAAAAGAAATGCGTTGTAAAAATAATCAGGTGCAATCAGAATTATTTCGTGGAGCAATTCCAGTTATAGAAAAATAGAAATATCTTGAAAAGGAATAGTCTTCCTCAGATCAAATTTTATTAGCACATCGACTTTCTCAAAGACTTGCATCACAAATATGTCTCAAGCTTCATTGTACAAAATATTCCGAAATTCTAATTCTATTAATTTATAGGCCAAAAGATGGGCGCAAACAAAACTGCCTTGTTCCAATCTCTAGCTCATCTGAGAAAAGGAAGCTAGTAAAAAATGATATAATACACTTACCCTTAAATACACTTTCTGATAAATTCTTACAAGGCATGTTAGGAAAAGAAAAAGCTATAGATTGGGAACTTGGATATGCAATGACCATTCATACCAGTTAGGGAATGACTTTCAAAGCTCCACAACAAGTTTGGGTTATCGATAAACATTTGGTGTGGGATAATCTAATTTATCTTGCAGTTGGTCATATAGAATATTTGGGCCAACTTATTCGAATTGAAGGTCCCCCATTACCTCCTGAGATTAAAGATACAAAAAATAAGAAAGCAATTGAACGATCTTTAAGACTATTTATTTCTGGAAAACTCGTAGAATATATGAATCAAGATAAGAAAAAAGATCGTGAATTTAACTTATCTGTTGATTATATCCTTGTATTAAAAGATTCGCAGAAAAATAAATGTAAATTATGTCTCAATGAATTGTTATGGGATTGAGACGAAGCTGGAAATCCAGACCAATAGACAGTAGATAAAATTAATAATGAATTGGGACATATTAAAGGAAATGTACAGCTTACTTGTTTAGAATGCAATCAGAATCATCAAGTCTAGCCTACTCAGTGTGCCAAATGAAAATATTAACATTTCCTATAATAAATTTTTTTCTTAATAAGAATAAATATCCAATTTAAAATTCCAGAGAAATAAATATCTTACTAAATTGTTCTACTTAATGTATAAATCTATTTTTTATAATTGATAATAAATAAATATA